AACCCAGCAGCTGCCCCTGTTGGAACCTGAGCTCTTCTCACTGGCCCAGTCCCACCCTGTGGACCTTCACTTCTTTCGTTTGCTCTTGTTGCTCCTTTTTAATCTTACTCTTGCTACTCTTCCTGGGTGTCTTGCTCAGTTATTTTTTCAGGACACAAAGAACCTGTAAACAACTCTCCGAGAACCCAAATCTAAAAAATCGACCCCGGACCAGTGGTTTAACTCAGTGGTTTCGCCTGTCTTGAAAGCACAAGGACCCAAGTTCGATTCCCAGCACCAAAAAATAAATAAAAATAAAAAATCGACCCTGCATGTGGCAGGGTGTGGTAGTAAGAGCAGAGTCTCTGGATTTGAACTCTAATTGTATTCATTATCAGCCATGTGACTTCTTATTTAATGCTTTGTTTCCTCATCGGTAAAGTAGGAATGATAGAACATACCTCAAGTCCTTGGGATTACTGGAAATGCATGAGACAATGAAGATTGTGTTAGGAACGTCCAATGCGCTCAGTCACTGGCAGCCTTTGGTACTAGTTGAATCCAACACACCTCTCCTGAGTGCTTATTAGACACCAGCATCCTATATGACCACATGTATGAAATACATGAATAATTCTTCCTGGAGGTCCTTTTCCTCCTTGGAAAAGATTGCATTTAAAACGGGACAGAGAAGAGAGCAGTGGAGGACAGACCTCTCTTTTGTGACTGTGTTAATCTATTTGGACTGGGTAGCTTATAAACAACAGAAATGTATTTATCGGAGTTCCCAAGGCTAAGAATTCCAAGATCAAGAGGCCTGTAGATTCAGTGCTTGTGACATCTGCTTCCTGGTTCATAGATGAGCATCTTTTTGCTGTGTCCTCACATGGTGACAGAGGCATTGGTCTAGTTGGGGCCCCTGTTAGAAGGGCTCTAACCCCACCCACTAATATCACCTCATTGTGGGGTGGGTATCAACCTATGAATTGGAGGAGGGTACATTCAGTAAATAGCAACGACTGAATATAAAAACCTACTCTGGCTAGCAATTTTACAGAAGCAGTATAGCACACTGCCTAACAGCATGGATTCAGGGCTGTCCTCTGTTGTGGACTGAACAGTGCTCTCCCTTATGAAAGATAGCTACATCTAACCCTAGAACCTGTGACTATGTTACCCAACATGGCAAAGAGACTCTGCAGGTATGATTAAACTAGAGACTCTGAGATAGGACCATCTCAACCTGGATTACTGGTGGACTCAATCTAATCAGAGGAGCCCGTGCAAGTGGGGAAACTTTGCCAGCTGTGGTCAGAAAGAGATGAACAAGGGAAGAGGTGGGAGGGAGATAGAATTGCTTCTTTGTTGGCTCAGAAGATGAAGGGAGTAACATGGGCTACCTCTGCAAGGTGGGAAAATCCCTCAGTTTCTGGCCAGCAAGGAAGTGCAGACTTTGTTCCCATAACTGAAATGTTCCCCTAGCACCTCCAAAAGGAATCGAACCCTGCTGACACCTGATTTTAGCCCAGTGTTAGGCCTCTGAGATAACCAAGGTGTGTTGTTTAAGCCGCTGAGTTTATGGAAATTTGTCAGAGCAGCAAGAGAAAATGAATACATTCTGGCTTGCAATCTTATAAATTACAATGAGGCAGTATAGCACCCTGGTTAAAACATGGATACGAGGGCCAATCACCTCAGTTCTAATCTAAGCATGCCACCTGTCTGATGTGTGACCTGCAACAACTGATTTAACTTCTCAGTCTCTTAATTGTCTCCTCTGTCACAGGGACAGTATAGCCACTCAAATCAATTAGGGTAAAAGAGCAAGTTAAAATAAAATGAAAAATTATTACAGAGACTCAGTAATAACAAAGCACAGCAGAATATCTCTTATTCAAAATGCTTGGGACCAGAAAAGAATTTCAGATTTTTTTATTTTGGGAGATTTTGAAATACTTGTATACACATAATGAGACATCCCGGAGGTGAGAGACTCGCCTAAACTCGTCTAATAGTCTAAATAAACTAGTCATTTATTTTTTATATGCACCTTACACTCACAGCCAGGAGGTAACTTTACACAGTATGTCCAGTGTTTCTGCATTTTGACTGTGACATGTCACATGACTTCAGGTGTGGAATTTTCCATTTGTGATCCCAGCTCAACACTCAGGAAGTTTCAGACGGGAGCATTTGGGATTTCAGATTTTCAAGTTGGCGCTGCTCAACTTGTAGTTTAAAAAGAAGACATCATAGTTGCAGATCAGTGTGCTGCACTGGCAGGCCGGGCACAGTACTTGGTCCATGGGCTCTGCCTCTGTAGAACAGGTGCCTTGCAAGGTCTTGCTAGCTGCTCTAGTAACAGGAATTTAGGATGCAGGTATCCTTGTGGAAAACAGGGCGAAGTTCTATTCACATCCCACTGGAATAATTCAGCCAGTGCTAGTAATTGTTTCCTCTTAGGTAACTTGCTAGAGCTCAAACAGTGATCATTCATGGAATACAGATTTAATCTTTTTAGATCTTCCGTCTGATCTTTAAAGTGTAGCATCGTAGCTAAAACTACGGCTGGTGTATAAGGAGAATCACAGCCAAGGAACTTCAAAGCTCGTCCATTTTACATTTAGTCAAAGTATCTCTCGCATTTAAGCGATATTCCAAACCTAAAGAATAGTCACAATTTAAGAACAGAAATAATGGAAAAATAAGTAAGCAGGACACTCCCCACGGAGGCAGTGGAAGGAAGAGCTACCTAGAGCCAGGATTTGGTGCTCTGGCTAACTCTGCCACTCTCAGCCTGACTTGGGCAAAGCCATTCTCTCTGGGCTTCACCCTCTTCATCTGTGGAATGGGGGTGTTGGACTACACAACCTTCTTTCCAGCTCTAACAGTCTACTTGGAAAGATAAAGAAAAAAATACGCAAGTGGTGGTAGTGCAGGATGGGTGATTTTAAAAAATTCCTCCAATGAAGCAAACAGCAAGAGTGGAGAAAGCCCTGGGAACTTACACAAGGTAACCTGTTGAGCCTTCTGCAGGCTGAGGAGACACAAGCTGGGACCTGCTGCGTCAGCCACACCTGCTTCTCACATTCCTTCCAAGGCAGAGACAGAGAAGGCCAAAGCAGAGAAGGGGAAGTTTGGGAAGGAGGAAGATCCCGGGCGTGGAGGCTAAATCCCTTCGGGTAGCTGGTTCAGGAGTTCTGGCCTCCGCAGAGGCAAGCTGAGCTTCAAAACAGCATGAGGGGCTTGGAGGAAATGAGTAAGAAAGGTGTCTCCTCCTGCTAGGGCCGGGACAACCTCCTGGGCTAGGAAGTCAAAGCCAATGTTGCAAACCCTGGCTTTGGCATATGGAGGATGTGTGTTCATGGGGTTAGTCAACCCCTTCAGACCTGTGTTCCCATGTGTGGCGTGGATACAATTCAGAACAGAGAAAATTTTGAATTTCCTGAACTCTCATGAATTTCCCAGATCGCTCTAGGCACACATCTCAATCAGCTCATTTCATCTCTACACCAGTGAGAGGCAGATTTGTACTTTCATTTAACAGATGAGGAAAAAGAGGAGTCACGTGACACCCTAGCCAACCAAGCAGGATTTGAACTCAGGTCTGTCAGCACTCCACTGTTTTCAGTAAATCAGTGTCTCAGAGATTATACCTCTGCACCTGCCTGGCAAACGCAAGGTCCTGAGTTCTACCCCTGGTTCCACCAAAAAAAAAAAAAAAAAAAAAAAATTATACCTATGAAAGTGCTTTTCCAACCATGAGTGCTAGAAGGGCAGAAAGTCACAGCCTAGAATTAGTGCCGAAACTTAAATCTCCAAAGAAGTGACATCCTGGTGGAGTAAAGGGCTTTTGCAGAGGCCTTTTGTTTAGCTGTTCTCTCCATTCATAATGTTTCTCTTCCAGGCAGTCAAGGAATATTTTCTGAACTGACTCGACACAAGGCTTTTTCGTTCCACCTGGGCTACAGAATCCTTAATCTTGAGAAGTCATTTGCTTTTTCCACCCATGAAATGAGGGGTTAAGTTGGAGAGATCAATCACCAAGGCCCCTTTTGCTAAAGCCCCTGAGTGACTCAGGGAAGCAGAAAGGACCCAGGGAGTCCAGAGCTGAGCCTTGCACTCTCAGTTCCCAAGTTCCTCCCTCACTTCGGGGGCTACAGAATGAGACCCAGGCAATTCTGAAGTTTGCATTCCTCCAGTGCTTAACACCCACAGCCCCAAGCTTCGAAGACAGTGGCTGAGATCCATTTCGCCCTTCTTTTACTGTCTGTCCTCTGACGTTTGAGGGGTCTGGGAACGAAGTAGAGGCAGGGTAGGTGGAGAGGTACCAGGGAGGCTCCTGGGGGAGAACTCAAGTCTTGGGTCTAACTTACCTGCTGTACCAACCACTCTCTCCCTCCTGCACACACAGCACCAGCTTCCTGGTTATGTCAATAACTCGCTTCCCTCTAGGCTGCCCTATAGAGATACATCTGGCTGTCACAATCGAATGTGAATGAGTGGAAAAGAAGATAAGCATGAAGGAGTCAGGGGCTCGTTCTGACATTACTAGAAAACTTAGGGAAACAACCAGCGCCCACAGCTGGATCACAGGGACCCCAGGGTTAGCAGCTTGAGAAAGTCAAGCAACCTTCCATAGAGCCACAGCACTTGGGGATTAAGACATCTGCCCAAGGGCTGAGTGAGACCCATACCTCCTATTTCAGAGTAGGGCTGGGATTTAGAGGAGAAACAGCCTGGGAAACAAATTCACAAGCTGTTCGGGCTAACTAAATCCGCCTGGCGCCCTCCACAGCACTGCCAGTTGCTTCTTGTCTCAGGCCCACGCCCTGCAGTCTGAAGGAGCTTTCCAAATAATCTTAGGAAGAACAGAATTTTCAGCAGTCAGCACAGCTTAGAAAGCACCAGAGTGTCGATATGAAATGGTCGCTTCTGAAGAGTGTTAAAATTTGGGGGAAAAATAAAAACAAGAGTTGTGGGAATTAGAGGCGGGTGTTTTCACAAACTCCATCTTCTGGTTTGTGCCTTTCCCATATTTTATTAAATTCGTGTTTTTTAAAAAAGAATCACAGCAGCATTATCAAAGGCGACATATGTACAAACATTTTACAAAAGAAAACATTACAATTATCAGCCGTAATCAGGGCGAGCTGAGGAGGAGACAGTGTGGGGCATGTGCCCTTAAAAACATCTCCAGGGTGTTCCGGCAGGGAGACAGGATTCCTTGGGGTGACAAGATACGCGGTCGGAAATGTATATGATGGTAAGCTGGACTCCTACACCGGCCCCCCAGTAACAGGCTCTCCTTTGCCGAGAAGGCCATGAGACAGGAAAGCTCATCAGCTCTCGTTCTCCAAGGCAGCAAGAGCACCCTTTCCCTGTACACCCAGGACAGCCTGGAAGGCTGAGCCCGTCACTGGCGAAGGCCTCTGGGTGGCTGGAAACTCACTTCTTACAGCTGGCCCTGCGCCGCCCTTCCCCTAACTCTCAGTCCTGTTTCTCGTCTTTGGACCCAAAGGGAAGGACTTTTGGAAATTCGGCCTTCAAGATATGTCAGGAAGAGGTGTTGTGAGACCAGGATCCATCAAGCCTGGTGTATGGGGAGCTGGAGAGGGGACCAGGGGCTTGGGTTGGGGAAACGCCTTCTCCTGCGCAAGAAGGAAGCAGGTGCTCCCTATGGTCCAGGACGCTGTGGTGTCCGTTTCTCCAACCACCTGTGCCCACTGGGTACCTACAAGCTTGGCTCACTTCTCAGCTCCCCCAACTCCTTGATCTCCACCTTCTTGTACTTCCTAGACCTCTTGTAGTGGGTGATCACCATGACGACCACGCCAGGGACCAGGGCCACCGCGACCACCACGATGATGGCGATGACGCCGGCCGTGAGGCGCCGCATGGTGAACTCAGGCGGCTTCTCGTCCAGGTAGTAGATAAGCGTGTGGTCCACGGGCAGCGACCCCCCGCGCACCGGCACACCTGCGCCGCTGTGGCCCGGGAACAGCGACTCGCCCTTGACGTCACGCTCGAAGTAGTAGGCGGCATCGCCGATGTCCACGTCGCCGGGCGCCTTCTGCGACGCGTTCTGGAGCAGCTCGATCTGGATGGTGGGCGCGTCGTAGCGCACCGCGTGCAGAAAGGCGGCACGCAGGCCATAGCGCTGGCGGAACAGCTGCCGCAGCTCGGCGTCCAGGAAGGAGAGGTTGAGCGCGGCGGCCGGGCCGTGGCGCAGGTGGATGAGGATGTGGTGCGTGCGCACCACGCCGGCGCAGCGCAGCCCGCGGTCGCCCTTGTCGGTGCGGCGCACGCCCACCGAGTTCACGCACCAGCACACCGACGTCCGGTTGCACTGGCGCGCCTTGAAGCGGCCCTCGCCATCGCACTCGGGGTCGTAGAGGCCGTCGTTGTCCACGATCGCCAGCGGCCCCGGCGACACCAGCGAGCGGCCCCGCGGGGGAGCGCGCGCGCGCGCCTGCAGCAGGAGGCACTTGGCGGTGAGCGTGGAGCAGTCGAGCAGCACGCCCGAGCCCAGCGCGCGGCACTGGCAGCTGCCGCCCGGGCCGTCGGGGCCGCAGACGCTCATCTTGTTGGTGGCGCACGTACAGTTGTGCTGCGCGCCCGCCGGACGGGTCGCCGCAGCCAGCGCCAGGAGCGCCAGGAGCGGCGCGAGGCCCGGGGGCCTGGCCATGGTTCGGCTGCTGCGGGCGTCTGGCGCCGGCCGCTCCCGCGGGCTCTTAAGCCCTCGACGCGCCCGGGGAATTTGGGTGCCACCCCCCACGCCCGGTCCCACGGAGGGCGAAGCCAGACCTGCGCCGCCCGCGATAGGATCAGGGCTGGGGACGCTGCCCGGCCTCCTCCCACCGAGAGCTGAGAGGGACACCGATACTGCCCGGCCCCGCGGGGACGCCCCGCCCAGAACCGCCCTCCACCTCGCTCCCACGCGCGGGTCCTCCGGAGTTTCCCCAGGACGGACGGAACGCAGCTCCAGGCCGGCCTCCCCGCCGCTCCCAGACTCCCGCCCCCTGTCTCTCCCTTTCCCAGCCCCATTTCTCCTAACTCCTCCACTCCCCTTCTTCTCGCGGTTCTCCAAATAGCAGACGTTTCCCCAGCCCCGTATTATTCCGTCCTCAGGCCTGCCCCTTGGCCGGCTGGCTCTCAGCCGAATTTCGTAGGTCTTGCGGATGAGGCCCGGAACTGAGGTCGCCCAGCATACTCTCAGATTCCCGGGAGAGGTCTCAGTTCTCTGCCTGGCTGTTAGGGGACTCAAGAAAAGTTAGGGAGCAGTTCCGGTAGCACATCACCGGTACAGCCCTGATGTCCTGGTGTCCTGTGTATTAAAATCTTCGTTAAACACTTCTTTCCTACACACACACACACACACACACACACACACACACACACACACAGCGTTTATGTGTATACTCAGTAGAGAGATGAAAAAGCAAATTTGAAAGAGCCAGAAAGACTGTACGGGGTTCTATGAACAATGTGAGTCTGAGAGAAAATGACTGCTTTTCCCACTCTGTGTCCATGTAAGTAGCTCAGGGAAGAATGAGCCGATGAGAAATTGCTGGTCTGCCCGTGTGCCCCCTTTAATGGGATGGAGGGGTTTACAATCTCTTTTTGAATCACTGAGAAAGTTCAGAGTTCCAAAGCTGTGGTAAAATTAACAATAATTAGCAAGCTATAATTATTCCCAGGTCCCCTGCCAAAGCACATTTTATAGTTCAGTTTTAAATATGCACCAGTAGTAGTACAAGGCTGTTGTTTGGCACGTGAAACCTAGCCAGGGCTCTGCCTCATTAATTTTCCAGCGATTCTTGAGGCAGGTACGTAGATGGAAGCGTATTAGTCTGCCTCTATAGCTAGAGGAAGTGGACAGACGTGTCTGTGAGGGACGGTTTCTTACCAACTCCAGGGCTCTGGGAATATCCCTCCGCTCTCGGTCCCTGCTGTCCCCATCCGAGTCTTCCTCGAACAAACAGCCTTGTCAAGTTCCAGTTTCTCCCCAGCCCACAGCCACCCTGCCTCAGACCAGGCTTTCTAGATCACAGGACCCTTCGAGCTTCATGGGTGGGCGCGCGCATGCGTATGCGTGTATTCCTGGCCCTCAGGATGACATCCATACTTCATAAAGCAACGCAAGATTGTTATACAACCTTAGAAGCAGGCCACTTCTTTCTGCCTTAGTTTCCTCATAAAAAGCACCCACCTTACGAGAAAGGTGTGAGAATTAATGTGACACGCTGCTGAGAAGAGTGTTCTGACGCTATCGGTATAGTAAGCGAAGGGTAGGTGTCAGCTGCTGTCCTTGTTACTGTGGTCATCTTCCTCCTGTTGACCTCTCGAGCTTTTCAAGTCTTTGCAGAGTCGTCTGCCGGGAGCCTCCCCTTCTTTACCTGTTTTGTGCAGAATTGTGTTTTTCCTCTCAGTTCCAGGGTCACCTCCCTGGTGAGGAGGACCTCGATTTCACCACTGCACCGAGGACTATGAGTTTTCCCTGTGCTTTTCTAATTTTCTACAGACATGGATGAGTACATAGTAACTTCCATGGGCTTCTCAACCCCGTCAGTGAATCGGTGTGGCAGAGTCTGTATTTCATAGTTTATCCTGAAAATCCAGGCTAGCTAACTCAAGGACGCAGGAGATTCAAAAGTTTTGTAAACTCCAAGACTCTAAAAATATTAGTTTGTGTTTTTACTTTTAAAGTCTCTCTCCTGTCTTCTCACTTTTCCAAGATGGACTAGGTAGCTCTGTCACTGGCAGAGCCTCCCGGCTGTCCTTCCACAGGGACCTAGGCTGCCAAGGGGAAACCCGAGGGAGGAGGGTTCTTGGGCCTGTCTGTATGCCATGAGGTGTTGACTGTCAGAAAAGTTTGCTGCACACGGCTTTGCCTTCTTGGTCCTTAAGTGCAGGTACATTAGGTACTGGTTAGAAAGGTGCTCAGGCCTACATCCTCTGTGGAAGATGGAGTGAACCCAAAAGCAACCTCTGTGCTCCTCCCCAACTCCTGCCTGAATTTCTGTGGTTCTACCAGGCTTTCCCCCAAAGGGCACACAAAACACAGCCCTGGCTAATTCTGTCCTCTGTTTTTACCCATTTCCTGCCTAGTTCAAAACAAATCGTGTTGTTTGTTTCATTTCCTTGGTTTTGGGGGTTTTTTACTGTGTTTTAAAAAGCTTCCATAAAGGCATTCCATCCCCTTAGGCTTGTCAAGTGTTCCTGAGGGGCAGGAACCCATGTAATGTGTGCTGGAGTCTCCGGGGGTCGAGTTTGCTGGGTGTTACAGGATCACTTCCCCTCCCAGGAGTGTTCACACAGACCCACTCAGCTCTTCCTTCCTGCTCTGAGGCTCACCGCCTGTCCGGCTGCCTATCCTCATCTCTCTGCCTGTCCACCTGCCTAACACCCAGTCTCAGGGAACCCTGGGAAAGGGAGGCTTTGAGCGAAGGGAGAAGGGATGTGGTGCAGCCAGGGGTTCTATGGGCAAGGAATACATTGTGGGCGAAAGAAAACAGCCATTGAATCCAGTAAGCCTTGAGCTCTTAATTCTGGCCTTAGACCACTCACTGGCTGTGTGGTTTTGACTAAATTATACCAATCGGTTTCCTTCATTGTAGAACAGGTATAATAATGCCTGCCTTTCCCCAGTGTCTGTGAAAAGAATGATTTCCTACCTTGTTATTAAGAACACACACCCCACCCCACATCAGCTATTCTAGTGCTCTGTTTTATAAACTCTCAGTGATTCTCCGGTTTTTCTTGGTCCAAGACTAAAGCCAACTTGTGAGTCTAATACATAAAAACAAAACAAAAAATCAAACTGTGTATCATTAATTTAAAAACCAACACTTACCATCCAGAATTATTTTAACGATTCAAGGTTAAAAAGAAATACAAAATACCCCACCCAGTATTGGGCATTATAGTAAGTAGAATAATTGTGGTTGCTGTAATCGGGGATGTGAGGCTGTTGAAAGATCATTAAAGGGTTCTTCGCACCGCCGGTGATTGTGGGGACTGCTGAAAATCAAGTCCACAGAGCTGGGTGCTTCGAGGAGAGAGCCACCAAGGCCCCACCATCCCCTGACCCCCAGGACTCGGGAGGACAGAGACCATCTAGATGGACATAGTGTGTTGGCTTATTTACTGCACTCATTATCTGCTGGGATCCCTGCAGCATCCCTGGGGTGCAGGCAGGGAAGGTATTATTACCCCTATCTTGCAGATGTGGAAACAGGCCTTAGGAGGAGAGGGAAGAACCTGCTTCCTGTAGTCAGGTGCTTGTAAGTGCTGAGATCACATCTAGAATCCAGGTCTCCTGACCGTGTCTCCTGATGTATAGAAATTAACAAAGATGGAACTAACAGGGATGAAAGAGGTTAAACACCCAGTTCACATTCCTGGGGCTTTCTTCTCCTCCTCCCCCTCCTCCTCCTCCTCTTCTTCCTTTCTTCTTCTCTGTACAGGTACTTTTGAAAGTTCTGGTTCCATAAAGAATGAACAAACCACTGATTGTGTAGGGCATAGCTGTGAGCCCACACCTAAAAACTCTAGGACCTCAGGGTCACAACCATCAGCCCCTCAGACATTGGCATGGAAAGGGTCCTGCTCCCTCTGTTGTGCTGCAAGGTCACAGCCTGTGTTTGAATTCTGTGCTGCTGCTTATTAGCCCTGGACTCAGGGCAGGTCCTTCCTCTTGGTTTGTCTCTTTCCCAAACACGTACTGTGGTTACCTCGCAGAGATGGTGTAAGGACCCAGTGGTATGCTGTCTGAGAAGACTCTTCATTCTTCTCTAGCCTGACCACTGTCAGTTTGAGTGTCAACAAGGAGCATCTTCTGAGATGGTTGGCCATGGTGGAAGGCTGGGCAGGGTCTCCCTTCCTCCTCAGGGAGCAAGCATGTGAATCTTAGGCAGAAACCAGGAAGCAGACTGAGGGAAGGCATCTGTGTGACTGTTAGGATGGAGGAAGGAGAGCCCAAGAAGAAATCAACCTAGACCCACCATTAGGGGAGCAGGTGTACAGAGAATGACATATACTACTGTGCCTTCAATGTTTCATTTCTTTAAACATGTAACTCAGGTACTGTGAAACTTTAGAATTCAAAAGAGCCAGGGGATGGGTGCAGTCTATTTTTATTTATTTATTAGTACATCTGTGCAGTACATAATGCTTACATCCCTTGTAGGGAGTTGGTACATGTTAGAAATATCTTAATTTCTTTTTTCTTCCCCTTTCTCTCCCCTCTCTTCCACCCTCCATCCCTTAATGCCCTTTCCTTCTGAGAAAGATCAATCTCCCTACTTCCTAGTTTATCTCTTCTTGTGTGCCTAAAACATTTATAATAAGCAATTTTTATGTTGTCAATCCCACAAAAAAACTTTTAGAAGTATTTGAGCGTGGGGTTTCTAGTTTGCTTCTATTCATCTTTTCTCCACTTCTATAATTTCTGTTATTAATATAGACTCTCATTCTTGTTCATCATGTGATAAATCCCCCCAGCAACTCTACAAAACAATTACTCTTGTCCCCATTCACCTGAGGGAGCTGAGGTTTAAGGTCACACAGCTAGCAATAAGTTGAGAAGGGATTTGAACCCTGGTCTGGTGAGGTGATAGCCAACCTGATTCCATTTGCGTAAAGTCAAGTGATTCAGGGTGGTCACCTTCCCCTCTCCCCCTAGGAGTCCCCTCAGTTAATGCATGACAGACTGCCCCATCTTGTTTGATTCAGCAATCTGCAACTATATGTTATCTTTACAACCTTGTA